GTGGTGGCGCACGCCTTTAATCCCAGCACTCGGGAGGCAGAGCCAGGCGGATCTCTGTGAGTTCAAGCCCAGCCTGGTCTACCAAGTGAGTTCCAGGAAAGGCGCAAAACTACAGAGAAACCCTGTCTCGAAAAAACCAAAAAAAAAAAAAAAAAAAAAAAAAAAAAAAAAAAAAAAGAAAGAAAAGGAAGGGGGGAAGGTGTCTGCTGCCCTCTCTGTCCTCTGCACACACAAAATGTACATGTACATGCATGTGAGCAAAACACTTACACGCTTAAAAATTAAACTTTTTTAGTTTTTAAAAAGAAAGACAGAATGGAGGTGGGGGGGAGGCTTCTAGAAGGCTGAGGGGGTTGCCGACAGGCGGCTTCACGGTCTCCCACGTTTTGTCTTACAGAAGAGGTGAGATGGTGCGGAACCCACGGCACCCACAGCACCCACTCAACCCTTGACTTGAACCCCGTGGCTGTCCTCTGGGGACCATCTGCACAGCTCAGGGGAAAATCTGTGCTTCCCTACCCTGAGAGGCAGAGGAAGGGAGGCCAGCCGTGGAGGAACCTAGATCCTTCATTTCCCTTCTTTGACTTCCCCCTCACCGGAGTCTCATGAGGGGGGAACTCCACCATCATCAAAAAAAAAAAACCAAAAACCAGCTGAGCGTAGTTCCTTCTCTCCTCCTTAATATTTAAAGCCAGACAGATCTTAAGAGATCAATGTGTAACAGCCTATTTTTTCTACCTGTTCTGCAAGGAGGTGGTAAGACATCTGAATACTACATTTTAATCAATAAAGCAATTCCAAATGCATCCCCTTTCCTTGTCTGTTTTTTTTAAAAATTATTACTGTTTATTTCGTGTTTATGTGCGTGTGCAAGCACACGCCACGGCATGCACTTGGGTGTTAGCGGACAACTTTCAGGAGTTGGTTCTGGGGATTGAACTCAGGTCCTCAGGATTGGCAGCAAGCTCCATTATCTGCTGGGCCATCTCGTTGGGTCCCTTTCTTCGCTTTCTTTCATGTTTTTTTTTTCAACCCTTGCCCGCGCTTTCCTTTCATTCATTCATTCATTCATTCATTTATTTTTCAGTATATGAATGTTTTGCCTGCATTGATCCACATGTATTGCATGTGTGCCTTGTGCCAGCAGAGGCCAGAAGAGGGCATCAGATCCCTTCCGACTGGATTTACAGGGAGTTGTGAAGTGGTAGGAGGATGCTAGGAACCAAACCGAACTCCTCTGCAGGAGCAGTGAGTTCTCTTCCTCGCTGAGCCATCTCTCCAGCGGCCCCTTAAATTTTTGTTTTGAGCATGTAGCCCAGGGGAGTCTTGAACTGGAAGCCTTCCGGCCTGGCCTCTCAGGTGCGGAGATCACAGGCATGTGCCGCTTCATGCACCTCCACATTTTCTTATATAAAAAGTGGTTTGTTGCCAGGTATGATGGCATCGGCACTCCCAGGATTGAGGCAAAGATGATCAGGAGCTGAAGACCCTGGCCGCATACAGAGTTTGGACTGGGCGGGTGATGGGGAGGCCGGGGTGGGGGTGGGGGCGGGGCGGAGAGGCCCACCAGTTAAGAGCGCTTGCTACCCAATCATGAATGATGACCTGACTTCGGATCCTGCAAATGCCTGTAACTCTGTCTCCGAGGGATCTGACACCTGACTCCGACCTCCACAAGGGAGCTGGTGCAATTATCAGCACACACGCCTGTGCATACACTCGATAAATAAGTTACTTAAAAACTAGTGCGTGCCTTTAATCCCAGCACTCAAGAGGCAGAGGCAGGTGGATCTCTGAGTCCGAGGCCAGCCAGGGCTACAGAGCGAGTTCGAGACCAGCCAGGGCTACACAGAGAAACCCTGTCTCAGAAACAAAACTAAACAAAAAAGTGATTTGCTTATTCTCTGGTCAGCAAATGTGCAGTGAGCAAATGCTGTATCATCAGACCCTGTTCATCGCTGGGAGGCAGCCCAGTCCACTGAGATCAGGAGGCCCAGCGCAGCTGACTGCCCTGTTTGGGGGGACAGCAAACAAGGCAATGCAAAGTAGAGCCGTAAGGAACCAATACAGGGAATAAAAGGGAGGAAAATGACCAAGGAGAGTCACTGGGCGTTAATTTATTTTTTTTTTTCCAAATCTTGGGCTGGGTAGACGGCTCTGTAGATGCCACCAAGACTGACACCCCGAGTCTGGTAACCTGGAAGGCACACAGTGGAGGTCGGAGGATAACTTGTGGGACTCAGTTCTCTCCTTCCGCCATGTCGGTCCCAGGAACTGAACTCACATCCTTAGGCTTGGCAGCAAGTGTATTTACCCATTGAGCCATCTCTGTGGTCCTGTTTTTATATTTTAAAAGTGTTGTAAGAGCCGGGCGGTGGTGGCCCATGCCTTTAATCCCAGCACTCGGGAGGCAGAAGCAGGCAGATCTCTGTGAGTTCGAGGCCAGCCTGGTCTACAGAGCGAGTTCCAGGACAGGCTCCAAAACTACACAGAGCAACCCTGCCTTGAAAAACAAACGGGGCTGGAGAGATGGCTCAGTGGTTAAGAGCACTGGCTGTTCTCCCAGAGGACCTGGGTTCAATTCCCAGCACCCATGTGGCAGTGCATGACTGTAAATCCAAGATCTGACACCCTCTCACAGACATACAAACAGGCAAAATTCCAATGCACATAAAATAAAAATAAATAACTAAAAAAGAAAAACAACAAAACAAAAAAGAGGCATGAGGGTTGAGCAAGTATCTGAGTGGTAGAGTCTTGTTTAGTGTGCAAAAGGCTTGTGCTGTATCTCCTGAAAGTGCTGCATGCACACACACACACACACACACACACACACACACACACACACACACACATACACACGAATGAACCAAGACTGTGTCTACCATGCTTAAAGTATTTCCATTGGGATTTTTGTGTGCACCTGTCCATGTGGGTGCCCGTGTGCTCTGTGTATGTGGTCAGAGCTTGACTTCAGGAACGTCTTCTTCCTTGATTGTTCTTTGCCTTATTTTAGAGACAGGACCTCTCCAAACCTGGAGTTCATTGATTCAGTCGGCCACGTGACGCACGGGGACCTTCCATGTCCCGAGGCCTCAGGGCTGGGAGGTTAAGAGACCTGCATGGGTACTGGGGACCCCAACCCAGTCCTCGTCAGGGCAGAAAGGGCACTTCACCCACTGTCTGAGCTGTCTCTCCAGCCTTGTTAATGAGACTTTTAGAGAAAAAGTTTGCTAGCTCTTGCTATAGTGCGGGTGGTATGGAACTTTTTGCCCTTCCCATTTTACGATGGGCAAACTCGCATGCAACCAGGTTCTCCCTCAGCCTTAACTGTTGCTCCAGCTTGGCCTCTTTGAGAACCCAGAAGAGGATAAAATCTGTTATGTCCCAGTACGCTCAGAGCCTGGGAGGTTCACAGAACTATAACCTAGACCAGTGGTTTCCAACCTACGGTTGCGACCCCACTGGGGGTCAAAAGACCCTTTCACAGGGTCGCCTAAGACCCTTGGAAAACACAGATATTTACATTACGATTCATAACAGTAGCAAGATTACAGTTATGAAGTAGCAATTAAGATAATTTTATGGTTGGGGGTCACCACAACATGAGGAACTGTATTAAAGGATTGAAACATTAGGAAGGTTGAGAACCACTGCTCTAGATGGATGGGGGTGGGGATTGGATTACTCAGGTTTTTTGTTTTGCTGTTATTGTTTGTTTTTCAGACAGAGCCCCTCTGTGTAGCCCTGGTTGACCAGGAACTCACTATGTAGACCAGGCCAGCCTCTTATTCACTGAGATCTGCTTGCCTCTGCCTCCTGGGTGCTAGGGCTAAAGGTGTAAGCCTGGCCTATTTTTTTCTTGTTGTTGTTTTGTTTTAAAAAGATTTACGTGTATTATTTTTAATTGTGTGTGTGTGTGTGTGTGTGTGTGTGTGTGTGCACATGAATGCAGTGCCCTGGAAGGCCAGAGGTCTAGGACACCCTGGAACTGGAATTACAGTCAGCTGTGAGTCTCCTGAGTGCTGAGAATTGAACTTCGGTCCTCTGGAAGAGTAGCAAGTGTTTTTAACCGCTGAGCCATCCCCACCCCCCCTTTTTTTGTTGTTCTTAAATATGTAACCTCACGTGACCAGACCTCAAACTCGCGATTCTCCTGCCTCAGCCTCCTGGTTTGTGGCACCACAGCTAATTGACTAGGTTTTTCAGCTCAGAATCAGAAGAGTTTGGGGCGCACGAAGAGGTTCTCGATGGTAAAGGCCCGCAGGGAGTGAGCATCCAGGAAATGGACTGGCCAAAGGCCACGTGGGCTGATTCTCCGTGAGTCCTGGGGGTCCCAAACAAGACGATCGTAGGTTAAACCCATTCCCGATCTCCATGCCTCAGTTTCCCGATTTGTAAAGCAGGAACTGGTGCTTTCCTAGGGTTAACGCCTTTCACCCTGCCAGGTGGAGCTCTACGGGAGGGGCGTGTCCATATGATGAGGATGATGATGTAACTCTGGGCGGGGCCTATAGGACTCACTGCGGAAGCCTTGGAGGGTGTCTGGGCTCGACTCAGCCCGGGTGTGTTGGGGGAGGGGGGCCCCAAGGAGAGTCTCTGGGTCCCTGAGCTTACGGGGTTGCTGGGACCATCCTGCTGTCTTCCGTGGGCGAAGACTAAGTCGTAGGTGGGCACCGGTGGGGAGCAGGGGTAGGGGTCCCACCCCTACCCCTGCGCTCCCAGTCGATCCCCACCTTCACCCCCGCCCCCACCCCAGCCGCGACCCGGCTGCGGTGAGTCAGCGGCCCCGCCGCGCCCCCTCGCTCACTTCCTCCACACCTTCCCCGGGAGGGTGGGGGGCGGAGAGGGGTGGGGCCCGGCCTCAGATCTGGGGAACACCGGACGTGCCCAAGTGTTACTTAAAGGTGGAAACTGATGAGATCCCTTGCTTAACCAGAGGGCCTCCCCGTCCCGCACCCCCCCCCCCCCGTCAAAAAAAAACTGAGCAGAAGTCCACGGAGAGAGTAGGACGCGAGAACCTGCACCCGCAGATCTCTACCTAAGAATTCAACAGTGGAGACAGAGATCAAAGGAAGGCCCCTTCTCTTCCACCACGCTTCCACCTCCGGCTCGGGGGTGAGGCCCAGGGTGCACCCCCACGCCACCAGGCTGGGGAAGGCGTGCAATTGCGGAAGCCGACGGTTCCGCGTTGCCTTTTAAACGCTCTCCATCCCCCGCCGGGAGGTGTTCACGGCCCCTTTAAGGCGCGGGGCATTGTGGGTGCGGGGAGTGGAATTTTGGAACGAAATGTAGCGAAGAGAGTACAGTAGTAAGAGTAACCGCGTAGGTGCCGCCGGCCGAGGGGGTGCGCCGGAGCGGTCCGGACTCTACACCCCGCTTTCCACCACAAGGGACCTCAGTCCATCAGAGCGGCGGAGGGAGGAGGCGCGCGAGGACCCGCCCCGGCCCGGTCCACGTTCTCCCCAGGAAGCTTGGACTCTATGGGGCGGGACCCCGAGGGAGACTGAGCAGAACCTGGAGCCAGCCCCGCACCCTTGCACTTCCAATCAGGGGCGCCCCGGGAGCACTCCCCGTGGGCGCGCCGCCCGCCCGCCCTCCGCGCAGCCATGAGGTGAGCCCCGAACCCCCCAGCCCGGGTCCAGCCGGGCGCCGGCTCCGCGCCCCGCCTTTGTCCCCCTCCCCCGCCCCCCGGCTCGTTCAGGGCTGGATTTAGGGGGACACCGGGCTTCGGGCGTCCCAACTCTGAGCCGATGCCTCCTGGAGCGATCTGCAGATGTCGACACCCCCTTTCTCCGCACTACTCCCCAAAGGCTTGAGGCGGCGCCGGCTGAGGTTCTCCTGGTGGCTTTCAGGTTTAGGGGCGCTCTCGGGACTCAGAGCCTGAAGACTTTTGGGGGAGCACCTCCGAGCTGGCAGATAGGTAGAAGCATCCGGTGTAAGCGGGGCTCAGAGTTACCGCCCCAAACTCCAGTCCAGGTCTTGGGGAGGTAGTGGGAGGCTGGCTTGAGAAGCCGGGCTCTGAAACTCTGAGCCTCGGGTAGTGGTCTTCGGACCCCTGCGTCTGGGGCGCTGGGTGGGTGTCCCAGAGCGGGACCGCGGTCCTTAACTTCGGGGGTACTTCTTGATGCCTCTACATTTGGGGGGCACGGAGGTTCTCCTGTGGAGAGGGTTTTGCGAATCTGAGCCACAGGGCCTGGAGGGTCTGGATGGGACTCCTCTCCCACTAGGTACCCAGGCTGGGACCTAGGGCCCGGGAGCACTCCAGGCCTGGGGCGACTCCCGGGCCAGAGGGCGGCTCTGGTCGTCCCCCCCGCAACCTGGTGGCCCGGGAGGGAGGGGGCGCGGCAGCTGGGGGAGGGGGGCCTTTGTCTTCCTGACTCACCTGTCGAGACAGCTGGTGTGGGGGGCGGGCCCCCGAGTGAGCTTTGTGGGCCAGCTGCTTTCCCCACATCACGGCCCCTCCCCCTGGGCCCAGTGTCGCCCGGTGTCACCCCCCCCCCCACTTCCCCAAGCCGTGGGATTGGAGGAGGGGGCGCTGGAAAGCGTCAAGGTCACAGCCTTCTCCCTCCGGGACCCAGGCTTGCCAGCTTCTTCCTGCGCTCTTCTCAGGAATTTAATCCTGGGGGTGAGGGGGACCTAGGGATCTTTTTTTTTTCTTTTTTTTAATTAATGTGTTCCCTGGACCTGCCCTGAACTCCTGGGCTCACCTGAGGGCGGGGCTGGGCCGGCAGAGGCCTCCCCTCAGCCGTCCCCCCCCATAATCTCTCCCTTGGGGCTACATCTTGACAATACTATCTCCCTTCCTCCACTTTGGCAGGCACTTCCTGCCCCAAAGCCCCTGGCTAGAGGAGGAGTCTCCTGGGGACAGTTTGGGCTTAACCCCGTGTGCGCGCCCTCCACTCTTGCCCTCTGACATCAGGGTGACATTCCTCTCCAGGACCCTGAGCGCGGACCCCTCCCTCCCTCCCACGTCTGTCCCTTGGCATGTGGGAGTGTTGGGATCTGGAGCTGGAAGGGGACATGGAGACACCCTGAAGACTTCCTGCCTGTCCTTCCCTCCCCCCTGGGAGTGCTGTCCCCCGAAAGGGGGTCAGTTCCTCCACCCGCCCCCCCCCCACCTCTCCTCTCCTGCTGCCCCCAGCCCTGCCCCTCCCCCACCCGTTTCCGGTCCCAGGCCCGGTGGAAGGCGGATGGCGGATGTCCGAGTTAGTGCCGCCTCACTCGCTGAGACCGTAAAAGGGCAGGAGCAACGTCTAGGCCGGCCCCCTGCCCCCTCACCCCCAGCCCCGGTCCTCCTGCAGCCCGGCCCCCGACTGGCTGTGACCCGGGGCAAACCTCCCTCCCCTGAGGGTGGCCACAAGTGGACCTGGTCCCCCACCCTCTTAAGAGAGGGTCTCCCTTGTCCTGGGTCACTTGCTGGGCTGTGTTACTTTAATTAATCCTAGGACAGCTAGGATTAAAAGAGAGAGACCCATCCCCTTTTCCCAGCTGGGTAAACTGAGGCCCTGAAACTGAGGAGCCTGGGTCCAGGGCCCTCAGAGGTTCTTGTGCTGTTTTGGGGAAGGGGGAGGACTGGTTTGTCTGCGGACAGCCCTGGGGCAGTGGGAAAGGAGGTAGTTGAGATGGAAAATTACAAGATATGGTTCTTTTTCTCCCAGTTTGACAAATATTTGTCGAGTGTCTGCTGCATCCGGGAGCTGGGAAGGCAGAGAAGGGGTCAGAGGTCTGAAGGCTCTTGGGCAGACAGCGTTCTGAAAGCACTTGGGTTCATTCCTTTCCTCTTGCAATAATAACAGAAGCAGCGACTGTTATTTTAGTTTGAAATGACGAGGCCGGTTCAGTCACACATCTTTGTGCCAGGCGCTGTAATACGGGTCTCGTTCCGTTTAAACCTCCACCACAGTTAAGTATGATGCTAGTCCAAGCTTGTGTCCTGGTCTTGCCCCCATTTTACAGGTAGTAAAACTGAGCCACAGAGACATTAAGGAAATGGCCTGTTAAAGTTTAATAGTTTGGGAGTACAGTGTGGTGACTCATGCTTGTAACGGTAGCACTTGGAGCTACCACTTGGAGGCCAGCTTGGGCTACTGAGTCCCTGTCTCAAAAATAAATGTATAAAGTCAAACAATTTGGAGGTGGTAACGTTTGAATTTGTGCCCAGGACTGTTTAAGTCTAGTGGTATTATAGAAAAAGAAAAATAGAACCATTTGTGGTGGGGGGTGTTTTGTTTTTGTACAAATAACACATTCACTATTAAAAAACATTTTTCCCCCAATGTCATTCTCTGCTACTTAGCAAGTTTGAGGCCAGCCTGGGCTACAGAGTAAGTTCTAGCTCAGCCTGGGCTACACTGAGTCTGTTTCAGTAAGCCAACCACCTAAGCAAGCACCTTTGCCTTCCTGTTCACTTAGGAGCAACTGAGGCCCACCGGATGGGGTAAAATGAACTCCCTAAAACTCCATAGACAGAACTTGACCTGTCTGCAAGCCTGCTTTGGGTGTGTGTGTGTGTGTGTGTGTGTGTGTGTGTGTGTGTGTAGTTTCATGGTGTGCCTGCTTTGGGGTGTGTGTGTGTGTGTGTGTGTGTGTGTGTGTGTGTAGTTTCATGGTGTGCCTGCTTTGGGTGTGTGTGTGTGTGTGTGTGTGTGTGTGTGTGTGTGTGTGTAGTTTCATGGTGTGCCTGCTTCAGGATGAGGGTGTGTGTGTGTGTGTGTGTGTGTGTGTAGTTTCATGGTGTGCCTGCTTCAGGATGAGGGTGTGTGTGTGTGTGTGTGTGTGTGTGTGTGTGTGTGTGTGTGTAGTTTCATGGTGTGCCTGCTTTGGGTGTGTGTGTGTGTGTGTGTGTGTGTGTGTGTGTAGTTTCATGGTGTGCCTGCTTCAGGATGAGGGTGTGTGTGTGTGTGTGTGTGTGTGTGTGTGTGTGTGTGGAGTTTCATGGTGTGCCTGCTTCAGGATGAGGGTGTGTGTGTGTGTGTAGTTTCATGGTGTGCCTGCTTCAGGATGAGGGGTGTGTGTGTGTGTGTGTGTGTGTGTGTGTGTGTGTGTGTAGTTTCATGGTGTGCCTGCTTCAGGATGAGGGTGTGTGTGTGTGTGTGTGTGTGTGTGTGTGTATAGTTTCATGGTGTGCCTGCTTCAGGATGAGGGTGTGTGTGTGTGTCAAGTGTCAATGGTGCAAGGAGCTGGTGAGGTAAGGCTTGGGGGTTGCGGGCAGCGAAGGGAAGGGCCAGACTCAATGAGGAAGGTGCCTGAGCTTGCTGGGTCCCCTCCGTCCCCTCCCTCCGTCCCCTCCCTCTCAGGACTCCCAGCTGCCAGGGTGGGAGGTGTCAGTTGCAGGGTTGTGGGTTCAGGCCTCTGTTGACCCCTTTTCTCCTTACAGCAGACTCACAGAGTGGGGGAATCCCAGACTGGAAACTGGGGCTCCAGAAGTGAAGCTACACAGAGGGAGGGTGGGTCCGGAACCGGCCGCCTAGGGAGAAGAGAGACCCTAAAGAAATGGGGGCCACTCACCCTGCCACCCCCATCCTGCCGAGGTCCTGGCTGTGGAGTCTTCAGTTATTTTTCTTAGGAAAAAAAAAAGTTGTTTGTTTTTGCCTTTATTTATTTTGGTGAGGATGGGCGTGTGTGAGGGATGTGGAGTTCAGAAGACAGCTGTGGGAGTCGGGTCTCTCCTTCCATCCACCGTGTGGGTTCTGGGGATCCACCTCGGGTCGTCGGGGTCACACGTGTGTCCCTCCTGTGGGGATTTTCCATTTCGGCTCCTTTTGGGACAGTTGACACAGGGTCTCACCATGTAGCCCAGGCTGGCTTCAAGCCTACAGAGATCCTCCCGCTTCGCCTCCCAAGTACAAGATCACAGGCGTGTATGTTCTCCAGCCTGGAATACTTAGCCCTCTTTTATTTCCTCTGCTGAAACATCGGGTCCCCAAGGATCCCTTTAAGAACCTAGCATGGTACTCAGCGCTCCGGAGTACTCAGCAGTTGTAAAGAGCAGACTCAACAGTAGCCGCTGACATTTGAGGGTCAACGAGGACGCTGTTCCAGGCTTTGGGCTCCAGTTTCCACTCCCGGCACTCAGCAAACTGATGATCTAGACTGAGGCCTAGCCTCTGACGGATGCTGAAGCGCGGGCCCAGAGAGGTGAAGACGCTTGGCAGGGATCACACAGCGCACACGCAGGGAGGCTCCCATTTGAACCGTGTGCTCCTCGACTCCTAACCTCACTGAAAGATGAGAAAACAGTGGGGGTGATACTTTTAAAAAAGGCAGAGTATGGAGGAGTGTGGCGGAGTGTGGCTCAAAGGGGTGCTGCTTTAAAAAAAGGTGGTGGCTGACACAGCCGGCTTCCCAGGTGACAAGGGCCAGAGGGAAAACAAGTTTTCACGCTTTTGACCCGGTTCACTCTTTCTTAACCTTTTCTTTTTCTGTTTTGAGGATTTTTTTAAAAAAATCATTTAGTTTGGGGTTGGGGATTTGGCTCAGTGGTAGGCCCTGGGTTCGGGCCTCAGCTCTGAAAAAAAAAAAAACAATCATTTAGTTTGATTTCAGGTGTGTGATGGTCAGAGGACAGCTTGTGGAAGTCCGTTCTCCTCCCTCCCGCCGACGTGTGTCTCCGGGATCGAACTCAAGGCCTGGCAAGCACCGTCGATCGCCAGCCCGAGTCTGGCATTTATTTGAGGCAGGGTCGCACTGTGTGGCACCAGGCTGGCCTCGAACTTGAGATTCCCCCTTGCCTCTGCCCCCTGAGTGCTAGGACGATGCTGGGCTCCGGCCCCATCCAGCTGAGGCCAGTTCTGGTTTTTGTTTTATCGTGAGCCTCCGTCACAAGGGTGTCTCCAAAGACTGTGGAGCAGGAGGATTGCTGAGGTGTGCAGAGGAGGTGGAGGGCTTCTGAAGGGAAAGGAGGACATCTAGGCAGAGCTGGGATGTGCAAGCCGCGAGGGGATGATACAGCAGTGAGAACAGGCGACCTCACCAGCCTTGGAGCCGCCGCGGACAGGGCTTTGGAGGACGGGGACACTCTGAGATTGGGTCTTCACAGAGTCCTTCTCTAAAGGGTGGGACCGAGCTCAGGTTCAGGCAGACAGCAGTGTCCTCTCTGGACCAGAGGACCGGAGCCAGGGCAGACAGGGCAGGACCACCTGGGAGGCCAAAGTGCACCTGGGTGGGGCCGTGATACCCTGGGCATCTGGCCAGAGTCTGCCCTGGGTGTGGGCGGCAGGTGTGGGTGAGGCTTTAACCCTGCCCTGCCAAGGGTGCCTGAGCCAGAAACAGTCCCTGAAGCTATGCTTGTTTCCAATGATATGTGGGTAGAACCCACAGCTCTGTGGTTAAGACTGGGACCTGGGAGCCATCTGGCTTAGGAGCCTGCCTCTGCCTCTGCGGGGCTGGCTGTGTGACTGTGGGTGGGATACTCAACTTCTCTGGGCCCTCTGCGCTGCACCCTGGAAGAACAGCATCCATCCTGAAGGGATGGCAGTGGGAACCGAGTGAGGAACTTGGGAAGGCTCGAGGCATGGGCCCAGCTAAAGGCCTTTTGATAGAGGAGCAACGTGCATGCAAAGTTGGGGTGCCAGGCTCAGTCTGCAGTGCAGGGGCCTGCCTGCCAAGGGGCTTTCCCCGCTGAACTCTCACTGCACAGCGACACACCCCAGACCCCAGCCCAGCCATTGTGGGGTACAGTTTCTCTCCCCTGGAAACCACAAACTTCTTCTTTTCAGGAAAAAGCCTAGTGGGGGTGGGGTGAGCTCCCCCCACTTCCCCTGTCTGGTGTGGGGGGGTGGGGCCTAAGCTCCCCCCACTTCCCCTGTCTGTGTGTGACCTTGGCCAAGTTACTTCCTGTCTGGAGCCTTAGTGCCTGCCCTGGAGGGGAACTGGACCTTCCAGGAGGGCAGGTTTTGGGGAGGGGGAGAGGGTCTTGTGTGATGGAGATGTTCAGGGTACCCTAGTACTGACAGTACTGAGGACTCAGTACTGACTGGTTGAGTACATGGTGCCCCAGTGCTGACAGTGACCAAGCACTCAGTACTCCAGTGCTTGCTGAATGACAGAGTGCTCAGTGTATACTAGGTACTGTGCCCAGTCCTTTTTAGTAATTAGACTCATTCCTCCCTCTCAAGGCCTTTGGAAGGGAGGGAGGGCCCATCATGTCTTCCCTAAGTGACAGGTATGCGGGATGATCAGCTCTCCGGGCCATGTGGAAGAAGGCTTCGGCGGCGGGGGTCGGACCTAGGTCGGTGGTGTCCCACTCCAAATCTGAGCTGCGTTTTGCCCTCTCTCAGCCAGTGGCTCTCCTCAGCTCTGCCTGGCCCCCAGGCTGGGCCGGCTGCTCCAGGAGGTGTTCCTGCCAGCACAGGTTTGTCCCCGGCACTGGAACACACTGGTGGCAGGGAGATCTGTCTGGGACACCGCTGTGTCTCCATCCCCAGCCACAGGGCGTGACTGCAGCCAGGAATGTGAGCCAAATGGCTGTGTGTGCCCCGGGGAACCAGAAGGACCAGGTGGCCAGTAAAAGCAGCCTCTGGGGAAGCTCACCAGGGTCCTGGAATCTTTCCTCACACTTCCTGCCCTCTGACCTCAGCTTCCTCATCTGACCTGAGCCCAGAGCAGAGGCGAGGTTGGAGACGTGTGGTAGGGACCGGGAAACTGAGGCCAGCCTGGGGCTGTTCTTACCTCACTTCTTGGCTGTCTGCTAGTCAGCTTGTACTCACTTTGGATTAAGGCTCTAGAGGCTGAGCCCAGGACCCTGAGCAAGCTGCCTGGTCCTCAACTCAAGCCTTCTGGGTCCTACCTTATCTTTTTTTTTCTGCCTCTTCCTGTGTGCAGCCTGCCTGTTCATCTCTTCCCCACAGTGCGCTCATCTGTCAGCCTGTATCTTTTTTTTTTTTTTAAATAGTACTATGGATTCAACCAAGGGCCTTGAGCAAGCTGGGCAAGCTTGAGCACTCTACCACTGAGCCACACCCCCAGCCCCTCACTGGGGGATTCTAGGCAGGGGCTCTACCACTGACCCACACTCCAGCCCCTCAGTGGGGGATTCTAGGCAGGGGCTCTACCACGGAGCCACACCCCCAGCCCCTCACTGGGGGATTCTAGGCAGGGGCTCTACCACTGAGCCACACCCCCAGCCCCTCACTGGGGGATTCTAGGCAGGGGCTCTACCACTGAGCCACACCCCAGCCCCTCACTGGGGGATTCTAGGCAGGGGCTCTACCACTGAGCCACACCCCCAGCCCCTCACTGGGGGACTCTAGGCAGGGGATCTACCACTGAGGCACACCCCCAGCCTCTCACTGAGGGATTCTAGGCAGGGTCTCTACCACTGAGCCACAGCCCAGCCCCTCACTGGGGGGTTCTAGGCAGGGGCTCTACCACTGAGCCACACCCCCAGCCCCTCACTGGGGGACTCTAGGCAGGGGCTCTACCACTGAGCCACACCCCCAGCCCCTCACTGGGGGACTCTAGGCAGGGGATCTACCACTGAGGCACACCCCCAGCCTCTCACTGAGGGATTCTAGGCAGGGTCTCTACCACTGAGCCACAGCCCAGCCCCTCACTGGGGGGTTCTAGGCAGGGGCTCTACCACTGAGCCACACCCCCAGCCCCTCACTGGGGGACTCTAGGCAGGGGCTCTACCACTGAGGCACACCCCCAGCCTCTCACTGAGGGATTCTAGGCAGGGTCTCTACCACTGAGCCACAGCCCAGCCCCTCACTGGGGGGTTCTAGGCAGGGGCTCTACCACTGAGTCACACCCCCAGCCCCTCACTGGGGGATTCTAGGCAGGGTCTCTACCACTGACCCACACTCCAGCCCCTCACTGGGGGATTCTAGGCAGGGGCTCTACCACTGAGTCACACCCCCAGCCCCTCACTGGGGGGTTCTAGGCAGGGGCTCTACCACTGAGCCACACCCCCAGCCCCTCACTGGGGGACTCTAGGCAGGGGCTCTACCACTGAGGCACACCCCCAGCCTCTCACTGAGGGATTCTAGGCAGGGTCTCTACCACTGAGCCACAGCCCAGCCCCTCACTGGGGGGTTCTAGGCAGGGGCTCTACCACTGAGTCACACCCCCAGCCCCTCACTGGGGGATTCTAGGCAGGGTCTCTACCACTGACCCACACTCCAGCCCCTCACTGGGGGATTCTAGGCAGGGGCTCTACCACTGAGCCACACCCCCAGCCCCTCACTGGGGGATTCTAGGCAGGGACTCTACCACTGAGCCACACCCCCAGCCCCTCACTGCGGGATTCTAGGCAGGGGCTCTACCACTGAGGCACACCCCCAGCCCCTCACTGGGGGATTCTAGGCAGGGTCTCTACCACTGAGCCACACCCCCAGCCCCTCACTGGGGGGTTCTAGGCAGGGGCTCTACCACTGAGCCACGCCCCCAGCCCCTCACTGGGGGATTCTAGACAGGGGTTCCACCACTGAGCCACGCCCCCAGCCCCTCACTGGGGGACTCTAGGCAGGGGGTCTACCACTGAGCCACACCCCAGCCCCTCACTGGGGGACCTGTGTGCAAATCGGTTTTCTGCTTCTACTGTATGGGTCCAGGAGATTGCGCTTGGATCATCAGTTTGGTGTCCGGCACCTTTTGTTGTTGTTTTTTTTTTTATCTGCTGAGCTGTCTCTCTGAGCCATGCTTTGTCCTTCTGATTTTTCTCCCTTTAATATCTTCTTGCTGTGTGCCGCCCTGTCCTGATGTCCCGCTCCGTCTGGGCCTCTGGGGAGGATGTCTGAATCCGCCGTCCCGGACCATCTCTCTGTCTCTCTCCCTCCCGTTCTTGTCCCGCCTTGGGGAGACCCACGTGGAGAGTGTGACCGGCCCCTGTGCGTTCTCTCCTCGCAGCGAAACGGTCATCTGTTCCAGCCGGGCTACCGTGATGGTGTATGACGACAGCAATAAGCGATGGCTGCCTGCTGGCACCGGTCCCCAGGCCTTCAGCCGAGTCCAGATCTACCACAACCCCACTGCCAACTCCTTCCGAGTCGTTGGCCGCAAGATGCAGCCGGACCAGCAGGTGCAGGCTCCCTCCCTCCGTCCCCTGTCCCTCTGTCTCCGTGCCACCGAGCACTCGTCACCCTTTACCTGCCCGTTCCCTTTTGCAGGTGGTTATCAACTGTGCCATCGTCCGGGGTGTCAAGTACAATCAGGCCACTCCCATCTTCCATCAGTGGCGGGATGCCCGTCAGGTCTGGGGCCTCAACTTCGGCAGCAAGGAGGACGCAGCCCAGTTTGCAGCCGGCATGGCCAGTGCCCTAGAGGCCTTGGAAGGTTAGATGGGCGGGTGGGGCGGTGTTGGGGCTCACACTTTTAATCCTTGCACTTGGGAGGCTGAGGCAGAAGGATTGTAACAAGTCCCAGGCCAGCCTGGAGGACATAGCAAGGCCCCGCCACCAATAAATAAGTCAGTAAAATCAGACTGGGAGCCGGGTGGTGGTGGCGCACGCCTTTAATCCCAGCACTCGGGAGGCAGAGCCAGGCGGATCTCTGTGAGTTCGAGGCCAGCCTGGGCTACCAAGTGAGTTCCAGGAAAGGCGCAAAGCTACACAGAGAAACCCTGTCTCGAAAAACCAAAAAAAAAAAAAAAAAAAAAAAAAAAAAAATCAGACTGGGAACAGCGATCTGTAGGTAGAGAGCTCACCCAGCATGCGTAAAGCTCCGAGTTCAGTCCCTGTCACTGCCTAAACTAGGCCTGGTACCACATGCCTGTCACTCCAGCGCTTGGCAGGTGGAGGATGATGAGACTGAGGCCATCCTCAGCTATACAGCAAGGTTGAGACCAGCCTGAGCTACGTAAGACTATCTTTTAAAAAAAGTATGTGTGTGTGTATGTGTGCATCTGTGTGCATGCACATAAGTGTATGTGTACATATGTGTGCGTGCACATGCTGGGGGTCTGGAGAGATGGTTCGGTGCTTAAGAGCATTTACTGCTCTTCCAGAGGACCTGAGTTTGATTCTCAGCACCCACGTGGTGAGTGGCTCACAGTCCCTAAGGTCTGACATCTTCTGGCCTTTGTGGGGACTAGGCACACGTGTGGTTCACAGACATATATATGTAGGCAAAGCACCCATACACTTAATTCTTTTTAAATGGGGGTTGGGGTGAGTGCTGGGAAGCCTGAAGCTGCCATCCTGCACTTGGGGCCTTGGGTCTGCCTATCTGTAAGTCAGCTAACCCATGGACATCATGGAAAACTCCCGTGACAATTGTCCATGCCCAGTGTGTGCCGAGGTGTGATCCCATGTTCCCTGTGACCATGTGCTGGACCAAGATGTCTGTCTGTCCAGCCTCCACCATGCTCCCCATGTTGGTCATGGTGGCACATCCTTGTAATATGAGCCTTTGGGGTGAGGCAGATGGAGAGTTCTGGGCCAGCCTGGGCTACATAGCCAGATTTGGTGTAAAACCAAGTCCACAGGGAGCATGCTATGGCGAAGGGGTCGGTGGTACAGGCTTGCCCAGTGTGTGCCAGACCCTGGGTACCATCCCAGTTCACCGTGTACTGTTTCTACTTCTTTAAAGTTTTTAAATTACATTGATCCATTTAGTGTGTGCGCACTGGGCTCTGGTGTTTGTGCGGAAGAGAGAGGATAGCTGGTGGGAGCGTTCTGTCCTTCCACCGTGTGGGCCAGGGACCGAACTCAGGTCTCCAGGCCCAGCCCCAGCTGCCTTACCCCCCAGGAGTCGACTTTCTTATTTATTTCTTTGTTTTGAGACAGGGCTTCTCTACATAGCTGACTTGGAACTCAGGGAACTCCATGTGCCTCTGCCTCCCTAGTGCTGGGATTAAAGGTCTATGCCACTGTGCCTGGTTACATGGTATTTCTTACTTTTTCAAAACTATTCAACTCACAGGACGGGGGTGGTGGTGATGTGATGTATGGGTCTAGTACTGGGAACAGGACTCCTTTTATTTATTTTAAGTTCCCTAATGAGGCCAAGACTGTCAATTTTTTTTTTTTTTTGAGGTGCTGGAGACTGAATGAGGGGCCTTGGGCTCTACTACTAAGCCAAGTCCCCAGCCCCTCACTGGGGGATTGTAGGCAGGGGCTCTACAACTGAGCCACACCCCAGCCTCTCACTGGGGGACTCTAGGCAGGGGCTCTACCACTGAGCCACACCCCAGCCCCTCACTGGGGGATTCTAGGCAGAGGCTCTACCACTGAGCCACACCCCAGCCCCTCACTGGGGGATTCTAGGCAGGGGCTCTACCACTGAGCCATACCCCAGCCCCTCACTGGGGGATTCTAGGCAGGGGCTCTACCACTGAGCCACACCCCTAGCCCCTCACTGGGGGATTCTAGGCAGGGGCTCTACCACTGAACCACACCCCCAGCCCCTCACTGGGGGATTCTAGGCAGGGGCTCTACCACTGAGCCACACCCCCAGCCCCTCACTGGGGGATTCTAGGCAGGGGCTCTACCACTGAGCCACACCCCCAGCCCCTCACTGGGGGATTCTAGGCAGGGGCTCTACCACTGAGCCACACCCCCAGCCCCTCACGGGGGATTTTAGGCAAGGGCTCTACCACTGAGCCACACCCCCAGCCCCTCACGGGGGATTTTAGGCAAGGGCTCTACCACTGAGCCACACCCCCAGCCCCTCACGGGGGATTTTAGGCAAGGGCTCTACCACTGAGCCACACCCCCAGCCCCTCACTGGGGGATTCTAGGCAGGGGCTCTACCACTGGGCCACGCCTCCAGCCCCCTTCACAGCGCTTTCAAGGTTGTGTCCTAGGTAACTGTTCTGCTTTTTGTAGATTGACTGTGGTGTTGGCTTCGCAGGGCCTTGTCAGTACTAATGGAATGGCTCACCCATTGCGTGTGCATGGAGAAATGTAATCAGAGGCGCAGGCCTGAGTTCGTTCCCTTGGGGCTGGAAAAGTGATTGTTCCTGCGGATTTCCAGCCTGCGTGGCCTAGTGACTAGTGGCACTGTGTATCCCAGCAGCACCCACCTCACCGCACCTCAGGCCCAGGAGGCTGCTTCTTGCTGTCTTTCCTGTGTGCTGCCCCCTGTGGAGGGATGTTAGGGTCTCTGGTTCAGTGGGATGGCATCGTCATGAGGGGAGGGGAGACTGAGGAGGGGAGAGCTCCCACGTTCTCACTGTGGTTTCCCTTCACCTTCCAGGAGGTGGGCCTCCCCTGGCCCCAGCACCCCCTGCCTGGTCTGCACAGAATGGCCCCTCCCCAGAGGACCAGGAACAACAGAAAAGGTGGGGACCCTCCCTCCCTTTAGGGTGTTCCATAGCTCCCGGAGTTCAGAACCCTGCCAGCTTTCACCTTCTAGAAAGGTCCAAGGTCCAAGGGTCTAGAAGCAAGCAGCATTCAGACACCACTCCCCAAGCTCCCGGAGTTCAAGAAATGTACTGCAAAGCTGGGCCTGGCAGCTCACACCTGTCTGTCATCAGTTCACAGGATGCAGAGGCAGGAGGATTGATGAGAGTTTGAGGCTAGCCTGGGCTACAGAGTGAATTCCAGGCTGCCTTGGAAATCAGTATGAGACCCTGTTATAGTAAAATAACCCCTTGCTGGATTTGTTGGAGCATACCTTTAATTCCAAACATTCAATGAAAGGTGGAGGCGAGCCCATCTGCAAGTTCGAATCCACCCTGGTCTACAGAGCAAGTTCCAGGCCAGCCGAGGCTACACAGTGAGACCCTGTCTCAATAGAGAAAAAAAGAAAAACTACCACCCCCACCCCCAAGAATTTGATAAGAGAATCCACCATTCCAGCGCCCCAGACTCCGCACCCGGGTTCCACAGCTGAGACCCTTGGCTACTTTAAAATCAGCTATGTGTGACAGTTGAGAAGAAGGCTTTCACCCACCCCCCATGGGTGCCTCCTGCCTCTTGTTCTCACCCCTCCTCCCTGGGCCCTTGGAAGGCAGATGTAGGAGAGAGCCGCTGGCCTCGCCGGTGACCTCTGAGAGAGGAACCAGAGGCTTCTGGCCCCGTGGCTAGTAGCTTGGTCTGGGTACTGAAGGCAGCTTCCTTTCCCCTGTACAGGCAGCCTGAGCACATGGAGCGCCGGGTCTCTAACGCAGGTAATGGCTCAACCTCTGGGTCACGGGGACCTCCCTGGAGGACCGGGTTGGGCAGGCCGGACAAAGAAGAAGGCTTCTCTCTCAGCAGTATCATTCTCTGTGTGTTTATTGCAGGAGGTCCACCTGCTCCCCCAGCGGGGGGTCCACCTCCCCCTCCAGGACCTCCCCCTCCTCCGGGTCCCCCTCCACCCCCGGGTCTTCCCCCATCAGGGGTATCTGCTGCAGCTCATGGAGCAGGGGGAGCCCCGCCCCCTGCTCCCCCACTCCCTACAGCACAGGGCCCCAGTGGTGGGGGTTCCGGGGCCCCAGGCCTGGCTGCTGCTATTGCTGGAGCCAGACTCAGGAAAGTGAGCAAGGTGAGTGTCTGGGAGATGCAGCCCTGAGGGGACAATGGGAGGAGGTCAGAGTCCCCCAAAGGTGTCACAAGAGGCCTGGGAGGTCACCTGGCCTGCCTTTAAAGCCATCTCCCCCTTTTTCATTCCTTCAGCAGGAGGAGGCCTCTGGGGGGCCCTTGGCCCCCAAAGCTGAGAGTAGTCGAAGCACTGGCGGGGGGCTTATGGAAGAGATGAACGCCATGCTGGCCCGGAGGTGAGCCTGGGGCCCTCGGGAGTCAGCCCCACACCCGGCAGTTTGGGGGCTAGGCTTTTGGAGTGCCCATGGCGCTCCTTCCCCTCTCCTCTCTCCGTCTCGTGTCTAGCCCAGGCTAAACTCTGATCTTCGGGCTTCTCAGCCTCCTGAGTGCTGGGGTGGCAGTCCTGCCCCGATGGTGACAGCCATGTCTGGGACACAGTGCTGGAGACTGTCGTCCTCTGAGGTGACTTACAGACTGTAACATGTCCTGACTCTCAGGGTTAGGACCCTAGGCAATTCCACTTGGATGTTCTGGAAACAGATTCTTAAGAACCTCAGCTTGCTGATCTTGAAAACTTCTCACCCTTACAGTTCTTAGGATTTCCAGACGTAGGAATTAGGGGGGCCCTTCCGAATTCTAGAGGAACAATCTCTAAGCTGGATATTTTTATAAAAAATTTATGTTTATTTTTATTCATCGTACGTATGAGTTTGCCCTTGGCACCTGGGAGGAGTCCTTTCTTGCCTTTCACAGTGTGGGTTCTGGGAATTGAACTCATGTTGTCGGGCTTGGCAGCAAGCACCCTTACTCACTGGACCATCTCACTGGCCCTAAACTGGATTTTTGTGGGTGTTGTTGCTGTTCTCAGCCCTGGCTGGGCTGGAACTTGGAATGATTCTCCTGCCTCGGCCTCTCAATGCTGGGATTACAGGCTTGTGCCATGCTGTTCTTATTATTTTTGTTTTCTAAGACTAGGCTAGCTTTGAAGTCACAGAGATATGTCTGCCTCTTTTTAAAAAAAAGAAAAAATATTACATTTATTCAGTGTGTGTGTGTGTGTGTGTGTGTGTGTGTGTGTGTATGTGTTTATATGTGTGGGCACATATTTGGAGATTAGAGGATAATCTGCAGGATTTAGTTCTCGACTTTCAACTACATGGGTCCTTGGGATTAAATCGGGTGATCTGTCTTGGTGGCAAGCACCTCTGTCTGCTGGGCCGTCTCGCAGGCCCCTTCTTTAACTTCTCAGATTATTCTGGAATTGAGCAGTGGGGAGGGGTGCTGTTGAGTGGCGGGCCGTGAACTGTAGCTTGTTCTTGCTTGCCCCTCTGCAGAAGGAAAGCCACACAGGTTGGGGAGAAGCCCCCCAAAGACGACTCAGCCAGCGTAAGTCGGGGGCTCTTCCTGTTCTATATTCCTTAATATGTACCCTAGGGCAGGGAGGAGGTGTGACAGGGTTGTTCTGGCTTTGGACCTGGAGGAGGAACATTGGCATGGAAAGGGTGGTTTATGATACTTTTCTGTACTGCCAGCAGGAGGAACCAGAGGCCCGAGTCCCCGCCCAGAGTGGTGAGTGACAGCCCTATGTAGCCATAGAAACTACAAATCCCAGGATGCATCATTGTTCTTGCTTTGAAAGCACACTTGCATGGGAAACCTGTGAAAATAATTCTGGGGATTGTAGTTTTCTAAAATAGTTCTTTGACCTGGTGGGTTGGGTGGCGGTATATTTTGGTGAGGGGCAGTGCTTGTCTCGATCTTTCTGATCTGTTGCTCCCCCATCTACCCAGAATCTGTGCGGAGACCCTGGGAGAAGAACAGCACAACCTTGCCAAGGTAGACCATCCGTGTTGGGAATCCACCCCTCAAAAGTGTTGAACTTTTCTCTTGTACAAGAGGGGATACAGTGTAACCTCTGGACAGTGCCCCTTTCTAACCCTATCCCTGTTCCACACCAACTCTTCCAGGATGAAGTCATCATCTTCTGTGACTACCTCCGAGGCCCACCCCTCTACCCCCAGCTCCAGTGATGACTCTGACTTGGAGAGGGTGAAGCAGGTAGCCTGGGGCAGCAGCTGTCATGATGCCCAGAGTGACAGGCCTGGGTCCAGAATGGTTCAAGAGAAGGCTTAGAAACCTCAGTCTTCTAGTCTGAGAAAGGGAGATGGTGGGCGGGGTCCGGGAGGACAGTGCCTAAACAGGCCATACCACCTATCCGCCGTTCCTGCTGAGTCCCCACAGTCCTCACTCAGCTCAGTGGCTCCAGCTATCCATCTCTAGTCAGAGCTGGCAGGAGACTGTACATTTGGCAAGCTTCTTACTGGATGCGCTCCAGCTTCTGCTGGCCCCACAGATCTGGAATTCTATAGAATGTCCCCATCATTTTGTGACCTTGGCAATTGTGTCAAAGGATGAGGGTGGGAAGGGTTGTTGAACCAGCTTCTTCTGTCTTCTCAGTCAAAAAGAAAGGAAGAAGGGGAACTGCTCAGCAGAAGAGTGCCTAGAGTCCCCCAGTGAGGGGCTGGGGTGTGGCTCAGTGGTAGAGCCCCTGCCTAGAATCCCCCAGTGAGGGGCTGGGGTGTGGCTCAGTGGTAGAGCCCCTGCCTAGAATCCCCCAGTGAGGGGCTGGGGGTGTGGCTCAGTGATAGAGCCCCTGCCTAGAATCCCCCAGTGAGGGGCTGGGGGTGTGGCTCAGTGGTAAAGACCCTGCCTAGAATCCCCCAGTGAGAGGCTGGGGTGTGGCTCAGTGGTAGAGCCCCTGCCTAGAATCCCCCAGTGAGAGGCTGGGGTGTGGCTCAGCAGTAGTATGCTTAGGTAGCATTTAAGATGCCCTAGGTTCCAATCCCTGTCCCTGCAATAAAATGGGCCGTTATGATGGCTCAGCAGATAAAGGTGCTGCGCCCGTCTTGACAACCTGAGTTCCATCCGCGGAACCTCCACTGGTAGAAGGAGTGAACTAATTCTCCCTCAAGCGCATGCATATACGGGTACAAGCAAACACACACAATTTGTTAAAGAACTTGAGAAAAGTTGAAATAAGAGAGGAGGTCACTGCTTCTGCCAGTCCAGGTCCCCTCTTGATTGTTTCTCAGGAGCTTCTGGAAGAGGTGCGGAAGGAGCTGCAGAAGATGAAAGAGGAAATAATCGAAGGTGAGGCTCCTCTGTTCTAATGCGGCATTTCCAAGGGCCTTGTGCCCGCGGAGGAGCCTGCCTTGGAAGGGGAGGGGCAGAGACTGGCCTGACTTCTTCCTCCTCCTTCCTTCCAGCCTTTGTCCAGGAGCTGAGGAAGCGGGGTTCGCCTTGACCACGGGGACCCAGAAGACCCATTTCTCCTTCTGCGCTTCCCCCCTGGCGCCTGCTTCCCCTGCCTCAACTTGACCTACACCAGAAGGCGTTCTCCCTCACTGCCTCCCACTGGGAAGACCCCAGAGGGTGTGGCTCCCTGGTGCCATGGCCACACCCATGCTGGCTGCTGATTGGCTAAGGAGGTCCCGCCCCTTTGTCCCCTCTGCCATCCCCTTGGGGCTGGTTCCTCTGCTGGGGATGTACCGGTAACCCCACAGTGAGGAAGGAAGGAGGGATCTCACCTTCCCTTGTTCTGGATTCACTTTAACGCTTTAATGCCTTGGATTTTTTTTTTTAAAGAAAAAAAAATATATATATATATTTGGGTTTATGGGGGGAAGGGAAATTTTTTTTCTCTTTGGTTTTGATAAAATGGGGTGTGGGAGTTTTTAAATGCTATAACCCCAGGCTTATCCCATGGGAGGCAGCTATGAAAGAGGGGAGGTATCCCAGCAGGTGGGAGGGATTTCCCTCACCCGAGGAACACCTCCCCCTTCGCCTTGGCTCCTCCCTCTTTTCTATGAGGAATTCAGATTCTTTAACGTTTTTGGAACCTCAGTTTTGTGGTTTTTTTATTTGGGTTAGGATTTCAGGGTCCAGACCATTTTTGCCCTCTGGGAAGATGAAGTCAGGGGAAGGAGAAGAGGAAAAATAGGTCCTCCGACTTCCACACCTTAGCTTCGTGGACACGGGCCCTCGCTGAATAAATCTGCGGTTTTTATAAATGTGAAGGTCTCTGGAGTGACTCCTGCTTCCCCTGCCCGTCACCCACACCCCTGGCTCTGGCCCTCCCCTCTGGCCCTCCAGCCGGCCTCCTCCTCCATCCTAGTGTTGGGGTGTGTGTCCCTTAAGTCTTACAGCGGAACTCTGGGAAAGGTCTCAGAAGATGACTGCCTCCCCAAGTTCTCTCCTAATGACACTTCCGCCCACTCAGCACATGATGGTTTGAGACACACTCTTTAACCTGGGGCTCCTTTAATTATAAAACATTTAAAATATTAAAAAAAATAGAAGCCAGAGCTCAAAGGCCACCGCTTTGTGGTCCAGTGGGTTAGTGAATGAGTGGGTAAGGGAGTAAATTGGTCTTCTGGGATGTTCCATTTGGTCAGACGTGAGGCTGTCCACCTTATTTTAAGTGGCTTTTGCCTGGAAGACCAAAGGCGGGGTGTGTGTGTGTCCCTGAGAATGCTGTGAAACGTGGGTGGTGGCGGCGGACGGAGGTGTGGTACTGGCCCACGTGTTAAGGGTGCAGGTGGTTCCTTACAGAAGGCCAGTAAAGAGGCTATCAAAGGGGTGGTGGCTGGAAATGGAGGGGCCGAGATAGGCAGAATGGCCTCATTTTTGGTTAGAACCAACTTCCTCCTAAGACATGATGAGGAAGAGGCACCCCGCCAGCTCGTGGACAGCGCCCTGGACTAGAGGAGGGTCCACCAAGGACAGAGTGCCAGACGGGCACCTCGGACCAAAGACGGGAGGAGCCAGAGACAGTGCAGACCTGGCCTCTCCCTTCAGAGTGAGGTAGATGGAAGGAGATGGGGTCCGGACACTAAGGCAGGAGTGTTCCAGTGTGATGGGCCAGTGCCCCGGGCAAAGGGTTCTTAGGTGGCTCCCCAACACGCTGTGCCTCCCTTTCCAAGCACGGTATCCGAGTGCTGGTGGCTTGGGGTTGGGAATCTGGGAGCGTCCCTGGCATGTCCCACCAGTGGGTGAGAGACCCCTGTGGAAAGGAGCACTCACACCACTCCCGGCCTGGGATCCCTCTGTCCCCAGAGACCAGGGCATGTCAGCTGGCCCAGTTCGGGGATGGGCCCATGCAGAGAGGCCAGGCACACAGGGCCAGACAGCAATCCACGTCCTCCAAGGACAGAGTCTTGCGGTCTCTACAAGGAGGCTTTGGGAGGCTGGGGCTCGGGCTCAGGCTCAGGCTCAGGCTCGTGGCGCTCGGTGCAGATCTGGCCTTTGAACTCCTCCAGCTCCGCCCGCAGCTCGGCCCTCAGCTGGTCCAGCTCGCTCCTCCGTACGGCGGCCTGCACCTGCACCTGCAGCTCGTCCACCACCTGCTCCAGGCGGTCCAAGTCATCCCTCAACGACAGCAGTGAGGCCACGCGCTCCCCTTCCTTGCGGCGCTTCAGTGACTGCTGGCGCCAGAACTCCAGCAGCAGGCAGCTGCCGGCGCAGCCGAAGATGATGGCCTCGCCCAGCAGGTTCGCGCCCAGCTCCGCCGCGGCCACCTCGTTCAGTGGCTTGATGGACTCAGCGTGGAAGCCCATGATGCTCATCTTGGTCCGCATCTCTGCCCAGTGGTACACTGCAGGGAAGAAAGGGGTCAGGGTTTGCTGTGGCCTGGGCTGCTCCTTGTCCCCTGTAAGCACCAGCCCCTGCTCCGTGTCTTGGGGATCAGAGCCAAAATCGCCTGTGTAGAGGACAGGCACCCAGTCCGCACACTTAGAATAAGGACTTCTCTGGCCTGGGGGAACCTGAGGACGTGGTTTTAAAATGGTCCAGGGGCTGGGAATGTGACTCAGTCATGGAATGCTGGCCTAGCATGCAAGATCCCATACTTAAAATCCCCGGCACCACCTGGAACCGAGCTTGATGGCATAGGCCTATAATCTCAGCACCCTGGAGGCAGAGCCAGGCGGATCTCTGTGAGTTCGAGGCCATCTTGGTCTACAGAGTGAGTTCCAGGACAGGCACCAAAACTACACAGAGAAACCCTGTCTCGAAACGCCTTCCCCCCCACCAAAAAAAAATTCAAGGTCATCTTTGGAAACTGGCCCGAACAACATGAGAGCCCCCTCCAGTAGGCAGGTCATGGTGCTTCAGGAGGCCATGATCTCAGCACTCAGGGGAATGAAACAAGAGGCCATTGTGGGCTAGAGGTAGACTCTGGTCTCAAAACCAAAAAAAAAAAAAAAATTGAATAAAATAACATCCAAAGTCAGCAACAACGGTTTGGTGGTGGGTCAGGGTGCCTGCCATGTAAGCCCAGTGACCCGAGTTCTATCCCCAGAACCTGAAGAAGCCCACTCCAGAGTTGCCCCGAGATACACACACACACACACACACACACACACATTAAAATTTTTAAAAATGTCCAGAAGATCTTGGAAAGTGGGTATGGGTGAAAATGCTAACCTGGCTGGGGGGTGAGACACTTCCAGTCTGGTAACCACTGCAGGGGTAGGGTCACAAGGTACAAGACCCCCAAAACATTCATACACATAAAATAAAAATAAATTAATTGCCAGGAAGCGGTGGCGCACGCCTTTAATCCCAGCACTCAGGAGGCAGAGGCGGGTAGATCTCTGAGTTCAAGACCGCCTACCTGGTCTACAGAGCGAGATTCAGGACAGCCAGGGCTACACAGAGAAATCCTGTCTTGAAAAAACAACAAAACAAACAAACAATAAACTGTGTCTTCAAGTAAATCTTAGGGAGGGTCCCCTACTTACCGCCTCACGCTTGTGCATACTGGGTGTGCATGACTAAAGTCATGCATTATGGGGCCAGAGGGATGGCTCACACACTGCTCCTGCTCGGGATCTGAGTGCAGCAGTTTCTAGCTCCCACGTTAGGCAGCTCACTACTGCCTGTCACTCCAGGGAATCTGATGCCCTCCTCTGGCCTCCATGGCACCCCAACACACATGGCACACACAGACACACGCACATAAACACAAATAAGAAATAAAATATTTAAAAATTAAATCATACATTATGGGACAGTGCATGCTTGGTATAAAAATGACTGTGACCTAATTGACCAACCAGAGGAAGAGAAGTGCCCACAGTGCACACTTAGCAACCAAACTCCTCTTGTACCCTGTGAAAGGAAGCCCTGGAAAATAACTGGGTCCCCTGAGTGCTCCCCCTCCAGGGCAGCTGCTGATCTTGACAGAGCAGTCCTCCCTAGCCTGTACTAGTGCTCTGCTCTGTAAGTTAGGTTTGTTCTCACAATCCCGCCTAATGCTTATTGTCAAGTTTTTAGTGTGTGTGTGTGTGTGTGTGTGTGTGTGTGTGTGTGTGTGCGCGCGCGCACGCGCGCCAGTGCTAGAGTGTGTGCCTGTGTGTGCATGCCTGTGTGTGTGTGTTGAGACAAGGCCTCGCCTTGTGGCCAGGAACTCACAGACATCCACCTGCCTCTGCCTCTCAAATGCTGGAGGACTGCAGCTCAAACCCATGCAGGCTTCGTGAGCACGAGGCAAGCTCTCCACCCACTGGAGCTGCTGCCCTGGGCTCTCAGTGTCTCTGAAGCTTTTGTTTTCCCTCAAATGCTGTTTTTCAGTCAGTCATGGACACACCGGCTGTCCCCAAGGCTGCAGGGCTGTCTTCCCATGAAGTCTTCATACCACCCCGCCCCTCGTCACCCCCCCCCCCCCCCCCCCCCCCCCCCCCGCTTGAGCCAGGGTCTTGCTATGTAGATAGAGATACTCCTGCCTCTACCTCCCAAGCGCTGGGATTGAAGGCATTCTCTACCATCCCTGGCTGGATTCTATCTTCTATTTGAAAACTGCTTCTCTCTTTGGACCTGGAAATCTCTCTTTTATGTGCAGTCAAGATGTAAAGATAAGCGGGGCATGGTGGCACATGACTTTTTAATCCCCGCACTCAGGAGGTAGAGGCAGGTGGATCTTTGTGAGTTTGAGGCCAACCTGGTCTACAAAGACAGTTCCAGGACAGCCAGACTTGAAAGAAAAGATTACCCATACGGAGGCCTGACTTTTGCTCCGAGATCCCTGGAGATGAGCTTTAGGACTTTGGAATGTCTGGCCTCATTAGTCTGTCTTTGGGCAATTTCGATTTAGACTTGTTGGAGTATATCCCTAAGTATCTATCTCCAAAAGGGTGTTTGGTGTTTTGAATCCTTCTTTTTGGGTTTTCTGAGTTTTGTTTTTCTGAGACAGGGTCTCCTTATGCAGCCCTGGATGGCCTAGATCTTACAATGTAGACCAGGCTGGCCTCAAATTCAGAGATCTTTGTGCCTCTGCTTCCTGACTGCTAGACAAAAGGCTTGTACCACCTCGTCCAATTTCATCTTAATTTTGTTTGTTTTTTCCGAGACAGGGTTTCTCTGTGTAGCCCTGGCTGTCCTAGAACTCATTCTGTAGTCCAGGCTGGCCTCGAACTCAGAAATCTGCCTACCTCTGCCTCCTGAGTTCTGGGAGTAAAGATATTTGCCACAACCCTTTCATTTTAATTTTTAAATTATTTTATTTATTGTATTGTGTGATTATGTGGATACCAAGGCATACTTGTGGATGTCAGAGGACCATTTATGGAAGTTGGAGCTCTCCTTCCATGGTGGGGGTCCTAGGAACTGAACTCAGGTCCCTAGGCTTGGCCACAGGCATTGAGGTCACCTTGTTAGCCCTAAGTCCAACTTTTGATGTTGCTGCTGGAAATCTGAATTCAGGTTCCCATGTTTAGCAGCAGGTCTAGTGAGGCATCTTCCCAGGCTTTTTTTTTTTTTTTTTTTTAAAGATAGGGTTTTACCCTGTAGCCCAGGTGGGCCCCAGACTCATAGCACGTCTCTTGTCTCAGCTTCCCAAGGGCTGGGGTTACAGCTATGAATGAGCCAGCATGCCCAGATCTTAGCTCCTATTTCGACAGACTCTCACGTAGCACAGGCTGGACTCAAGCTCACTCTGTGGCTGATAATGACTTTGACACTATCCTTGCGTATCTGAAATACCTTTTCCTACCTCCATGGTGAACCAGACCCGGAAGACTTGCTCATTCCTCAGGGTTTAAGGGCTGATTGCATTGGTGATGGACCGGTCTGTGCTCCACAGGGTAGCTGAGGGACTTCTGTCCGTCTCCCTGCCTCCGCCCCTCTATCTTCTGTCTGAATTCTGTTTCTCTCTTCCATCCTGGGAACTTTTCTTTTATGTACAGTCAGAGATTAGCCTTGGAACACAGAGGCCTGGCCTTTGCCCTGGGATCCTGAGAGATAATCTTTAAAGGTCTTTGGAATGTCCAGCCCATTAAACTGTCCTGAGGCACTGGCCACACACACTAGTTGTTTCTGCTAATGATAGAATTTCTGTTTTCCCTCATTTGTGCATTTTTCTTCGTGTGTGTGTGTGTGTGTGTGTGTGTGTGTGTGTGTGTGTGCTTTTGTGTTCATGTGATTGTAGGCATGCACCATCATACATACCTGGCTTCTGGCTTCTCTTTTATTTCACTTATCTTTACTCCGAATTCATTACCAGCGTGTGTGTGTGCGTCAAATGAGTCACTTTGAGAACGTGGCAATCAGAGACAACTTTTGGGAATTAGTTCTCTTCTTCCACCGTGAGTTAACCTGCTGACCCATCTTGTCAGCCTCCACTTGGTCCTATATTTACCTTTGACATTTTATCTGTGTGTGTGCAGTGCTCCTGTCCCACAGCACTTGTGTGGAGGTCGAGGACAAGCTGCAGGAGTCTCCGTTCTCTCCTTCAACCCTGTGCAATCCAGGCTTGGCGACAGGCACCTTTGTCCTCAGAGTCATTTTGTCCTCCCTCATTGTTTTAAGACAGAATCTCGCAAGTATGTAGCCCAGGCTATCCTCCTGCCTCAGCTTCACATACTGGAGTTCAAGGTATGCTCTACTGCAGCTAGCCAGAGTTTCTTTTTTCCTTTTTTTTTAGTTTTTCAAGACAGGGTTTCTCTGTGTAGCTTTGCGCCTTTCCTGGAACTCACTTGGTAGCCCAGGCTGGCCTCAAACTCAGAGATCCGCCTGCCTCTGCCTCCCGAGTGCTGGGATTAAAGGTGTGCGCCACCACCACCTGGCTCAGCTAGAGTTTTCAACCATAGTTCCTGATTATAACTGACCTCCTCACGCCAACCACAGAAACCCTATAATGTCCGGTGACTCTGGCTCTTAGGATGGTTCCTTGTGCAATAGCAGCTCCCAGGACTCCACTCCTGAGGGGTCCTGCTCCCTGCCCCGGAGGGATGTCACAGAGAGGCCCAGAAGAATCCGAAGAAAACAGGCCTGGGAACTCCGGACGGGCAGAGGAGTTCAGGAGCATTAACTCCCACAGGAGGCTTTGCAGCTTCTCTCAGTCACCTCATCTGCCCTGTCAAGAGGCCTCAGCGGCAGCCGGTAAACAGGAGTGTTTCTCGGGGTTTGCTGGCCCCTCTGCAGACCCATCTAGCTCACCAGTGACAGGGTCCACCCGAGCAGGCCTAACAGGGAAGTGGAGTTTGACTCTGTAACCTGAGGTCACCAAATCAGCTGTTCTCTCCCTGCTCTTCCCTTACAAAAGGTTGTTTGTTTTCTCTTAGAGACAGGCTCTCACCAGGTACACGGGCCGGCTTTTTTTCTTTTTTTCCCCAGACAGGGTTTTTCTGTCTAGCCCTGGCTATCCTAGAACATTTTTTTTTTTTTAAAAGATTTATTTATTTACTATGTATACAGTGTTCTGCCTACATGCATGCCTGCAGGCCAGAAGAGGGCACCAGATCCCATCATGGATGGTTGTGAGCCACCATGTGGTTGCTGGGAATTGAACTCAGGACCTCTGGAAGAA